CTGTTGATATAGAAAAATTTGAAAGCTCCATAAGCGTCTTGTATTGAAAGAGATATTGGAGAAAGATTTAAAGGAGACCTTTTGCTCGTGTATTAGTACTGTCATGGTTTGCACTGTGTGTGTGATAACGACGAGAGGATTGCAGGAACACCCGATAGGGATAAACGACTTTGAGGTGCACAAGAGAGAGAGAAGAGAGGGAGATCGTTTCCGTATGTATATATATTTTGACACTTGGTGCTCTGTTATTAGTATTGTCATGGTTCGCACCGTGTGTAGAACGAAAACGACGAGAGATTGCAGAAGACGACCCGATAGAGCGATACGGTGGAGGGGACGCACAAGACAGAGAAGACCTGATTCTCTTTCGGATTCCGGCGCGGTGATTGCCCCGGACCGCGTGGTCGCGGCATTGTTTTGCGAGGTTCGGTGCGTCGGCGTTCTGTAAAAGGAATCGTCGTCGTCTGCAGGGGAGTGTGTACGTAGACGAAAACGACGAGAACGGCGCGTGGCGGTAGAGAGTAAGAGAGGCGGGTTTCTGCCTGCCCTCATACCTCTGATTCCGCGGCCATCCTCAGCGGACTGAGCGCGCTCTCTGAACTGTCGCAGGCGGCGCTGCCGCTATCGCAAACGCGTGAAAAGCCGCCAAAAATAAAAACCAAGAATTAGCTGAAATGGTGCGTCATAACAAGGTCATGGAAGAGACCAAAAACGGATCGGGCGTGTTGCTAAGGGGCCCGGAAAATGCTTCGAACGAACAGGAAGACGAAGGGGTGGCGGGGAGGGGGACGTCTCGAAAAATAAAACGATTGTAGCGGAGTACCGCGTCGAGCCTCACGCACGAGGAAATGTCACGTTTTGCGAAGAAGATTTTGAACATTCCGCATTTTCGTGGCGTGTTTAAGCGAGATGCGCTGCCCGAAAGAACGAGGGCGGAGCTGAGTGCGGCGTCGTCAACCTGACTCGCCAAGGCGACGGCACTCATTTCGTGGCGTAACGTGAAACGAGGCCGAACGGTGCGGTATTTTCGATTCGTTCGGCTTCCGCCCCTTCTCCGAATTCCTTCGTTACGCGCGCGGCCACCTCGTGACGTACAAACACGCGTCAAGGTTCAACAATACAACCGGAACAATTCGTGAAAGTTGTGTCTGCAATTTCTTTTTCTTACCGAAGTGTGAGAAGGAAGAAGAGAAGAAGAAGAAAAAGGAAGATTTAAACACCGTTATTCACTTTGCTTGAGAGCGTTCGTGTCATGCACACGTACACTTTAATGGGGAAGGGGCCGGAGATCTCGGTCAAGTTTGCGCCGGGAGTCATGGTGGAGGACGTATATACGAGATCGCTTTAGTTATCATCTTCAGCACGTTCACAACCATCTTAAATACATTGGGTCAATTGCCGGTCGAATTTTTGTGTCATTGGCCCGCGTCCCACGAGGTAGAGCGCATTTTCGAGAAACTCCCTGGAGACATCCAAAACCCAGCGTGTGTTCAAGACCTTCGTTCGTGTAAAGAGCATTGGAACCGCGGACGCACACGCATCGACAGACCGCCGCCGTCCAAGCGGAATTGCCGCTTTTGCATTTATCTTCGCTAGCCTTGCACGCAACACTACTCGGAGGAGAAGGACCGCACCGCCGCACCGTCGAGGAACGAGTGTCCTTCGTGTCAAGCCAACGAGCGTCTCGTCTGCACGCAGCACTACAACGCTCAACACGACAACGGACCTCTGCTGTTGAAACGAGATTGTGTATTTTATAAGAGGAATATCGTGACGTCACTGTAAGTGTGTGTGTATTCGTCATGAACTTTATAGATAGCATCATTGTTCGTCTCACCCTTGTGAACTTTGCTTTCGTGTTCGCTGCTTTTATCTGTTTAATGCTTTGATGTGAAACAAGAAGAAAGAAAAAATGGAAACATCTCTTTTTGCGGAAGTTCTTGCCGGTGAATCAAACCTTTCGTGCTGCAGCATCTGTTACAACGATGACACTCCCCTTCCTCCTGTGATGGCGCGCACGCCATGCAACCACTTTTTTTGCGTTGAGTGTATAAAACAATGGTTAGACGTGGGTACACGTGTCCTGTGTGTCGTTGCGAATTAAAACCTTCCCCAGCCGAACACGAAGCTTATCCATGTTTAGACGAAGAGATCATGGCGTCGATGGTGGATGACACATACATAATGCAAGCGTACATCCATCTCTGCAACGTCATGTGCACATTACCCGAAAACCTTAGAAAAGCGGCTCTACAGGTCATGAACGCTCTCCAAGTTGAAATATTCCGACGACGTCTCGAGAAAAGAGCTCGACGACGAGAAGATTTCAATTTCCGTTTCTCTGGCTACAGACCCTGGGCGTATACCCATTTCTACAGTCCTTTGCGTAACGATTCCAGCGACGAAGAGTCGTAAATGACGACATCCATGTCCGATCAACGCATGGTGGGGAGAAGGATGTGACGTCACTGCTGATAAGTCCACCGCAGTGGGACGTCAGCACTCATAAGATTATCTTTTAAAACGACGCGATGACACGCTGCGGACGACAGTTCATCATGAGCGCCAGTCAAGACAACACGATGGTCTTCTACCACTCGGCTGAGGAGGATCAACTGCAGGACGAGGATGTGTACGAGGACGAAGAGCTTTCGCACGACGAAGAGGAGGAGGAGGAAATAGAAACTTGCAATATACCAGCGTACGTCGCCACCAAAGAGTACGTGAACGAACAACTCGAACACGCACGTCAACTATCAGCGCAAGATGCCAATATAGCATTGCAGCAACAGCTCCATCAACTCAAGGCAAAATTACAAAGCGTGACGTACACTCAATCCAGATGTCTCCGGCAATGGAACGTCAACGATGCCTTTAACGCCGATTTTTTTTTCGCATTTGGAATACAGCTTCTCCTCAAGACGAAAAAGATGTCGCCAACAAAGCGTACGTCGACCGCAACATTAAGAACATCAAGACGCATCTAGAAAAAATTCCAAAACTCCTGTGCAGCAAACTGGGAAACGTCAACGTGATGAAGAAACGCCTCGTCAACGTGGCGCCGCCAATAAAAAAGAAAGACGGTGCCACGAAAGGGTATGTGGATGAGAAAATCAAAAAAGAAATAAATACGCTAAACTACGAGTGTAGAAGAGAGGACTTTTAACATGGAGGATTCTATGTATAATTTGATTTTCATTTGATTTCAATAAATCTAAAAACATTCTTTCATGTACTGTTTTTCATTTGTTTTTCATGACACTGCCTTGTAGGGATTTTCCTTTTTTCCATTATGAAAGTATTTTCAGCGGGGGGAGCGAGCGTCAGCGCTCTCAGCTCGAAAGAGAGAGAGAGAGAGAGACGCACGGCTGGCGCGCGCTATGAACTTATATAAAGTGCATTCAAAATGAGCGCGCCGCCGCCTCCTTCTCCCGACGTCGCTCATAGAGCGCGCCACCGCCACCTCCTCTCGTTCCCC